GAGGAGAAACAGAGAGGAAGATCTTCCACCCAATGATTTACTGTAAGTGAGCGCAATGGCCGGTGCTGCACCGATCTGGAGCCAGGATCCAGGAACTTCTTCCAGGTCCCAATGCTTTGGGCCGTCCTTGACTGCTTTCCCAGGCCACAAACAGGGAGCTGGATGGGAAGTGGAGCTGCCGGGATTAGAACCAGCATCCTTATGGGATCCTGGCACGTTCAAGGCGAGGACTTTTAGCTGCTAGGCCACGCCGCCGGGCCCAGTATCAGTTTTTATATTAACATTCTATCAAAGAAAAGTTCAGTTCTTGGATCAAATCGTTCCCATTCCAAGTGCTGAAAAAGCTACATGTGCCCGAGGCTACTGTGTAGGACAGACAGGACTGGGGAGAATGAAAGGAAGGGTCCTAGGTGCCAGAGAGAACTTGAGAAACAAACAGCCAAGAGTTACAAGCAGCCAGAGCAGGGGCCCTGGGAAGGGACTGTTGGCAGGGAAGGGCCTCAGGGCACTTGGAGCACCTAGCATCTAAATGCCTGGCAGGAAAGGGCCTCAGGGCACTCAGGGGCACCTAGCATCTAAATGCCAGCCACTGCAGCCTGCTCAAGGGGAGAGTGTGCAGAGGCAGGATGCCCTTCATCAGGGTCCATCTCATAGCCTAGGCCATCCGGAGAGGGTATGCGAGGTAAAGAAATCCCATACCTGTGCAATAGGAACAGGTAGAAAAGCCAGACGGGACCCCTTTCTCTCTTTTTTTAAGATTTATTTATTTGGGGGCCTGGCATGGTGGCCTAGTGGCTAAAGTCCTGGTCTTGTACGCACCGGAATCCCATATGGGAGCCGGTTCTAATCCCAGCAGGCCCCACTTCCCATCCAGCTCCCTGCTTGGCCTTGGGAGAACAATTGAGGACGGCCCAAAGCCTTTGGATCCTGCATCCACGTGAGAGACCCAGAAGAAGCTCCTAGCTCCTGGCTTCGGATCAATGCAGCTCCAGCCGTTGCGGCCAATAGGGGAGTGAATCACTGGACGGAAGATCTTCCTCTCTGTCTCTCCTGTCTTTATTGGAAAGGCAGATCTGTGCAACTGATTTTATTTATAAAAATAAAAGAAATATTTTAAAAAATGATTGATTTATTTTGGCGCCTGGCACAGTAGCCTAGCTACCTCTCCTGGGTCTCCCATGCGGGTGCAGGGTCTCAAGGCCTTGGGCTGGCCTCTACTGCTTTTCCAGGCCACAAGCAGGGAGCTGGATGGGAAGTGGAGCAGCCAGGACAGGAACCAGTGCCCATACGGGATCCCAGCCCGTGCAAGGCAAAGACTTTAACCACTAGGCTAACATGCTGGCATGAGTTTCTAAGCAAATAGTGAAAACAAGGAACTTCTTGCCTTGGGAATCCTGGAAAGAATGTGCTACTCCCATCTCCATCCCTGTGGAATATTAGAGCTGAGGCTTAGGGCTGCACCTGCAGGGAGCCTGGGGGCTTTCAGCCAGAGCCTATTGATTCTGCACATGAGGAACTGAGGGTACCAATGGGCTTGTTTTCCAGTGTTAGGAGCCAGGCCCCTGGGCTGAGCACCTCACTGACATCTGTGTCCAGTCACGCCATGAGCCTGGCCCCGGAGTTACCTCCACTTCTCAGAGGAGAAAACGGAGATGCTAAGTGGTGAGCAACCCCTAGCAGCCAGAAAGGGCTGGGGCTGGGATCTACAAGGGGGCAGTCTGGCACGGTCTGACCACTGGATGATGGGTCCGCATGCCTTGTCCTCCGCCCTCCTCTGGCTCTGTCTTTACCAGTGACCTTGCCGGACAGCCACATTTCCTCCTGGAGTGAGAAGTGGGGCGGCAGCCCTGCGGACTGGGGAGACGTGGGCAATGGACTGAGTGCGGGGAGCAGCCGTTATATCTTCAGTCAGGTTTGCAGTCCCCTTCTTCTCTTTGCACACTTTGCCCTGGAGCCAGGGTACTCACTCTGCTGGGATTTGCAAAAAAAAAAAGAGTGCAGAGAGGGGGGACTGGAGCTGGCCCAGCTCCCACGACCGGCCGGCTTCCACACGGCTGAACAGGAATTCTGGGCAGGAGCACACAAAGGAGAGCTTTGATGCACCTCCTGCCAGGCGCTGGCTGTTCCCCTCTGCCTGCTGGTGCTCTGCCTGCCCCGCTCTGGGCCTCCGGGGAATCTGATTTAGCAGGAGGCTGTGGGCAGTGAGTAGCTCCTTGTGACAAAGTAATCCCAACCGGCTGACTGAACCTGCCCCCCAGGAAAGGCACCTCCAGAGCCCCAGCACGATTCAGGCACCCGGTGGCTCCAAGGAGGAGCTGCTGACCCGGCAGGTGAGTCAGTATCCAGCAACCTGCCTGGACCAGAGAACCCAGTCCTGGGGTGAGGAATCAAGGGAGGTCCGGGGAGGCCCCATCCCAGCCCCAGGTTGGCCCTGACCAATCTTGGCCAGTTTAGCAAACGTGTGAATTTCAGGTGAGCAACAGGTACTTTTTGAGTGTAATATGTCCCAAATTTGGCATGGAACAAAGCATTTGTTGTTCACTTAACATTCATACGTACTCGGGTGTCCTGCGTTCCTTCTGACAACCTTGACCGGCAGCGAACAGCCTGGGCCTGATGTGAGAGGTGAGTTTTCACTCATTTCTTCATTAATTAGTGCTTTTAAAAAAAAACCATAGTTAACAGCTTGGGCACGTGTAGAAATCAGTTGCCATACTTGCTTTAGCTCTGTGCTTTAAAGATGTGAGATCATGTCCTGCTGTTCACTTTACCGGCCAAGGGTATCCTGCTCTGTCCCGCCTGCCCGGGCTCCTTGGACTTGCCAGTCCTGTTTGGGAAACAGCTGAGAGATGGCACGGCAGCACTTCAGGCTGGCCCTCTATATCCAGCAGCCAGAGATGGTCGTGGCTTAGGTTTGGTTCTCAAGGATGAATCAGCCCCTGTAGCCTCCCTGTCCTCTTGGGGGCTGCGCAGTGGGAAGGGTGGGAAACAGGCAACCCTCAGACATGCTTGGGGAAGCTCCGGGTCTCTTTGTAGAGTCAGAATGATCAGTATGATGCTAAGAAAGGGAAGGGAGCCATTTTCCAGCGAGATATTGTGCCTGGTGCATTACAGGAATTACATGGTCGGCATGACAATTCTTTTTGGTAGGTGCTATTATTATGTTTCATTACCTGACAGACGCTGAAGCCCAGACACGTTTGATAATTTGCCTAAGGTCCGATAGCTAGTGAGGGATTGAGCCTAACTCCAACCCAGGTCCCTCTGACTTTTAAGATTTTGATGATGTCTGTTGTTGTTGGGACTTTGCTTGGAGATGTCTTAGCTCCAGGTGTCAGACTTGGTAGGGTGGGTATTTGGCATAGCACTTGACACCACCCAATTTCAGAATACCTGGGTTCAAGTTCTGGCTTCACTTCTGATTCCAGCTTCCTGCTAATGCAGACCCTGGGGGCAGCAGTGACGGCTCAGTTGCTTGAGTCCCTTCCACAGCTGTAGATGACACAGATGGAGCTCCAGGCTCCTGGCTTCAGTCTGGCCCACTGCTGGCTATTGCAGGCATTTGGGGGAGTGAACCGGTAGGCGAGAGATCTCACTGTGTTTTTGCCTTTCTAAACAAGCAAGCACACAAGTTTGAACAAACAGGTGTGATGTCAGGCATAGGTTCAAGTCCTAGCTGTGCCACTTCTATGGGTAGGTGACACAACTGAACAAAAGGACCCACAGGTACTAGAAACGTTTCGGCAGGAGTGGAGACAGTCCAGAAACAGAACAGCAGGAAGACGTATGAGTGACCAGATTGTCACTGCAGGCTGTCATGGCCAAGCATCGCCTATGTGTACAATAATCATATCCCATAATATTTTTAAAAGATGTATTTATTTATTTGAAAGGCAAAGTGACAGAAAGACAGAGACAGCAAGACAGAGACTGAGGTTTACCCAGTGGTTCATCCCTGAAATGACCACCACAGTCATATCTGGGGCCAGGCTAAAACCAGAACGAGCAACTGCATCTGGGTCACCCATTCAGCTGGCAGGGGCAGAAGCACTTGCGCCATTTTCTGCTGGTGTTTTTGTTTGTTTGTTTTTTTTTTCCAGTGCAGCAGCAGGAGGCTGGATAGGAAATGGAGCAGCCAGAACTAGAACTGGCACTCCAATATGGGACACTGGTGTTGCAAGTGGCAGCTTAAACTGTTACACCACATTTTTGCTCTGGATTTTATCAGCTTCCTACCTCATTTTATAGGAGACAACCAGGACTCCTGATCATTCACACAGCCTGCACGTGGAAGCTGCCAGGTCCGACTTTTGAGCTGATACGAAGTCGCAACTTGGGTTTGAGTCTTGATCCTCAGCTGTTTTGGGTTGTACTATCCTGGACAAATCGCTTCTCCCTTGGCCCTGCTTCCTCTTAATGTGAAATAGACAAAAAAAAAATACCAATAATTCCATTTGAGATGATGGAGTTGAAAATACCTAGTGTGGCACAGAGCCTAGAACACATACCCACTGTCTTGGTTACATAACGGTCACCAACATGCCTGAGGATGAAAGTACTGGGGAAAGAGCTGCCCCCTGGGCTGGGAGCTGGGGGAAGTGGCCACAGAAGGGGCAGGGGGCTGACATCTCCTGCAGTGGTTACCTAATTGAGCATGGAGTCTGATTCTGGGCTTTTTCTCAGTTGAGGTTTGAGGGATTTGTGTGTCCCTTCTCAAAGCAAGTTTGCCAAGGGTAGCTCAGACCCATCTTCTCCAGAGCCACCAGGGGGCGCTCCCTGGGAACCAGTCGTGACCTCCAGACAGCATCACAAGGTGGTGGGGGTGGAAGGATGGGACCGCACCTGCCTTTCAAACAAATGCCCCTGGTGGTTCTGAGCCAGCCGATACAACTCCAGAATGGTGTCTCTAACACCCTGACTTCCTAGGTCAGGACCGCGGGGGAGGCCAGGAGTGAGAACACAGAGTCTTTCTTTGGAGGACTGAGTCTCCCAGAGGCAGTATGTCAGAGGGGGTGAGTACTCCAACCTCCACCTTTCTGCTTTCTTCTCGCCCTCCTATTGCTTCTCCATCATCCACACCTTGACAACCTCCCAGTGGGCTCTGACCTTGGGCAGAAGTGCTAGGTGCACTGAGCCAGCCATTGGCTATGCTCCCTTATACTGGTGGGGGACAGGGATGGGTTCTCACTTCTTCCTAACCCCTTTCTGCCCAGGTGGGCACGTTCCGCATGGTCCCAGAAGAGGAGCAGGAGCTCAGGGCTCAACTGGAGCAGCTCACAACCAAGGACCATGGGCCTGTCTTTGGCCCATGCAGCCAGCTGCCCCGCCACACCTTGCAGAAGGTGAGGCAGGCAGAGATGCAGGGAGGGGCAGCTTTGGGAGCTGATACAGGGTGAAGGTGGGTGGGGTGGGGTGGGGAGGACCATCACAGAGTACCCCAGCCTGTAGAGGGTGTAGCCCCAGTTTTCCAGGTCAACCTGTTCATCCTGGACACCTGGAAAGTCAGGGCTCCATTGGATGGACACCTAGGCCAGCCTAATCTGTGACTGCAATCTGGGGTTTCTGGATTAGGGACCATCCTGGAGTCAGATGTGGAGAACATTGGCTTCAACGTGGCCCTGGAGTATAGGGTCCTGCTGCTGCCCCCACTGGACAGGCAAAAGGCCCAAGTTCCAGCTTCCCCCACTCTGGGTCTCGCTTTCCGAACCTAGGAATACAGCGTTAAACTAGCTCAGCGATGACCAGACTGTATTCTGTGGATTGAGGGGTAGGGGTCGGGGATAAGAGGTAGCTGAGCTGGGCAACCCAATGGAAGGAGGCACTGGCTCCCCCTCCTTTTGCTCTCACCCTCAGGCTGTCTTCTCAGGTGAGTCCTTCCGGCCCAGCCAAGGGGAGGAAAGTGAGGTTCGGAGGCAGGAGGCAGACTGCCATCTGCTGGGGGCTCTTTTTGTTTTGTTTTTCCTTTTGAAAGGATCTGAGTGAGGTTTGAGACAGCAGAATGAGGTAGTTAAAAGTGGAGCAGTACGGACCAGTGTGCAGTGCAGTGGGTAAAGCCTTTGGCCTGCAGTGCCCACATCCCATATGAGCGCTGGTTTGTGTCCCAGCTGCTCCACTTCTGATCCAGCTCCTGCTGATGGCTTAGGAAAAGCAGCACAATTGCTTGGGCCCTTGCTGCCCATGTGGGAGACCTGGAGTGGACCAGTGGATAAAAGATTGTGCTCTCTCTACCCCTCTCCCCGCCTCTTTCTTTGTAACTTTTGCAAATGAATAAGTAATCTTAAAGAAAAATTGTGGTCACCATAGAAATGTCTAGGTGATCCTGGATAAGAATACGTTCGCATCCGAGCCTCAGTCTACTCATCTGAGAGATGGGGAGAATACCCACCATGCTGGGTTGTGGCACAGATTGAAAACCAAGGTCACAGACTGCCGCTGGGATGCTGGCATCTGATGTCAGAGTGCCTGAGACTGCCTGAGATGGACACCCACCTCTGCTTCAGGTCCAGCATTCCCACTGATGCACCTGCGAGGCAGTAGATGATGGATCCACATAGCTGAGTTTCTGCCACCCAGGAGGGACACTAGGTTAGAGCTTCTGGCTCCTGGCTTCAGCCTGGCTCAGCTCTGGCTGTTGTAGGAAAATAGGGAATGAATCAATGGATGGAAAGCTTTCTCTCCTCTCTTCTTTCTCTGTCACTGTTGTTTACAAGTATAAAAAAACAAACAAATAAATCTTAAACAAAAATAAAAGAAAAACAAAAAGATAATGGATTCACAGGACTTAGCAGGATGCTGAATAAGGGCTAACCGGAGGCCATTCCAGTGAGACAGACACCCTCTTCCCCTCATTCTGCCAACGCCACCAGGATGGGCAGTTCGACCTAATTTTCTCCAAACACAGCAACCTGTTGTGCTGCCAGTGCAGGCACTGCGCTTGCGGGCAGGAGGGCAGCTGTGGTCCCTAGCTGTGGTCACGCGCGGCCCTCCAGGCCAGCGCGACTCTGGTGTACAGGAAGCTCATTGCCAAGTTTCTTTTCCTCCTCTGCATCTACACCCTGCCTTGCGCCAGGCCAAGGACGAACTAAACGAGAAGGAGGAGACCCGGGACGAGGCCGTGCGAGAGCTGCGAGAACTGATGCAGGCGCAGGCGGCCACTGGCGACGAGCTGGCTGTGGCGGTGGCCGACAGGATGCGAGAACGCGACAGCGCCTTCCTCCTGCGCTTCATCCGCGCGCGCAAATTCAACGTGGGCCGCGCTTACGAGCTCCTCAAAGGTGAGGGGTGCAGCTCCGGACAGGAGGTAAGGGCGGGAGAAGAATCCGCCTCCATGGGACTGCAAGACCCTCGCTCTCAGCCTCCTCTCCTTACCGGTAACATGATGCCTGGGAACAATGGGCTTTCAGTGCTGGCAGTGAACCGATGAACGAATGAGCCTGACTGACACCACCCGGGTTCTGGCGCTCTAGCCCCTCTCTCCCAGCCTTGGGACTCAGTGAGTGTATGGCCGAGGGGAGCATTTCCTTTCTGGCCTTCCCCTGCAGGGCTGCAAGGAGCCGTGTGGGGCACCTGGGTCACTGCGGGTCCCAAAGCTCGTGGCCGTGGCACTGGGGATGATGGGAACAGCTCTAGCTGTCAGTCCTGGGGTCAGTAACAGAATACTGACACCCTCTCCTTCCCCTCCCCTAGTCCCCAGTCCTCTTGGAATTTACGCTCTCACAGTGGAAATAACATGAATAAAGCAGACAGAATAAAATAAAACATGCAGTGTTCCCTGGTGATGAGGGAAAGAGAACAGCGGAGAAGGGCACATGTCCAGGATGGAACAGCTGACACCACAGCTAGAGTGGGCATGAAAGCCATAACCCAGAGGCCACTCTTAGCAGGAGAAAGGTGAAGGGTGAGATTTGCCTGGAGGACTCCATACAGGGAGGAGTTGGCATGGCTTCTTCCTGGTACATGCTGGCACAGCCTGCTGGCATCCCCTGGCACACACTGCTGGAACACCTGCTCTGGGCCCAAACTTCCCAGGTACTTAAGATGTGGTGAGGGAGGCAGCCTGCAGGGGTGAGGAACTGCTCAGAAAAGGGATGGCTGGGCTTGTGGGGCAGCAGGTGGTGCTGTGGCCATGAAGGGCCTCAGACCCGCCTGGGGTTTGTATTTGATTCAGGAGTTCCTTCTAGTCCTACCCACACCCTCACTATACCAAGATTTCTTGTCTTCATGAGAAAGAAAATAAGTAGCAATCACCTTCATATTTAGGTCTAGATCTGGTGTTTGCACAGTTTACAGTGATGGCCACAGCTTGAATCTTCTGACTGACTCATGATTTGGTGAAATGGGCTGTTGTCATCATGATTTGGTGAAATGGGCTGTTGTCAGACCTGGGAGGATGCTGTCAGTCTCCCCCCAGACTGTGTGTGGAGGAGCCAGGCAGGGGTCCAGGTCTCTGCCTCCCGCTCTGGGCCACTTCAGAAGGTGCACAAGGCAAGGAGGGCCTGGTACCCTAAGGGGCTCCTCACGTCTCCCACCTGTAGGTTACGTGAACTTCCGGCTGCAGTACCCCGAGCTCTTCGACAGCCTGTCCCCAGAGGCCGTTCGCTGTACCATTGAGGCTGGCTACCCCGGTGTCCTCTCAAGCCGGGACAAGTATGGCCGAGTGGTCATGCTCTTCAATATTGAGAACTGGCACTGTGAGGAAATCACCTTCGATGAGGTCAGTGACAGCTTCCCTGGCCTTCTCCCTTGTCCCCTCACCCCCAGCCTTTGTGGGACTCTCGGTCTTGGCTCCCAGAGGGAGAGGTCTGTAGAGGACAGGGCAGGTACCTGCTGCACAGACTTTGCAGGGATGCTCTGGAGCAGCTGGGAAGACTTTGCAAGCCACTTCTATGAGGCTGTCCTTGGATCCCTATCCGATGCCAAGTGGGGCAACGGCTGTGGGCCATGAACTGGGGGCAGTGCTGTCAAAAGCAGAAAGGGATTGCTGTGCTATGGGGCTGGAAGAGATCTGCAGGGCGCGCCTTCCAACCTGCTGAGCAGCCGAGCTCTTTTCACTTGGCGCTAAGGTGTTAGATTTTGCTTGAGAGAGCTCTTGAGAAAGCCGTCTAGATTGGGGCATCAGAGTTTGTCTTTGGAGAGCTCCAGCTTGTGTCATGAGCCGTAAAAGGATTTTTTACATAAAAAAAAAAAAACCAAAAACCTCATTTTGGAAAATGCTATGTAGTTGCCCTAACACATTTTATTGAAATGTGCATTGTTTCTCAATGACTCGAGATGCAATCTTCATCATATTCTATGTGAAGGTCTTCAAGAAGTTTGTGGAAAATGCATATTATGTTTATCTATCTATCTATCTATATATATATGTAGATATATATCTATATATAACTATGCATGGGTTTCAAAATTTTGCACCAAAATAAACTTATCCTTTATTATGTTTATGTATTTATTTGAGAAGCTGAGAGACAGGCAGAGAGAGACAGTTGAGAGAGTTTTTCATTCTGTGATGATAGGAAGGGGCTGCAGTTGGGGCAGGGCTAGTGGAAGCTGGGAGCTCGCTCCAGATCTGCCATGTGGGTGACAGGGACTCCCTGAGCCTTCACCTGTTGCCTCCCAGGGTCTGTGTCCACAGAAGACTGGAATTGGGAGAAGCTGGGAATCGAACCCAGGCATTCTGATCTGCGATGGAGGCATTAACTGGCATCATTAACTGCTAAACAAATGGTTGCCTTTGAGTTTATCTTTTAATTCCATTTTCTATGCATTTGTGGAAGTATTCTTGTATTTTTATATGTGCTTGAGTCTGTTTCTGGGCTTTTTACTCTGTTCTATAATTCCTTTATTCTATTTGTACTCCATAACACACTGTTTGAAATTGTAATATGTTTAATGTTGATTAGGTTTAGTTATATCCTTGTTGCTCAGAGTTTTGGGGGGACCTTTCCAAGCTATTCTTCCCAACTCCAAGTTTTTATTAATTTGTTTGAAAGGAAAGAGAGAGATATCTTCCATCTGCTGGTTCACTCTCCAGAGGGCCACAAAAACCAGGGCTGGACAAAGCTAAAGACAGGAAACTAGAATTCTGTAAGCATCCTCAGCTTGTTCCAAGTATATTTGTATTTCCCATTAAATGAGGTAATAGCTTTAGCACAAATACTTCTTTTTTATTTATTTATTTTTTTATTGGAAAGTCAGATTTACAAAGAGAAGGAAAGACAGAGAGAAAGATATTCCATCCACTGGTTCACTTCCCAAGTGGCCACAATGGCTGGAACTGAGCTGATCTGAAGCCAGGAGCTTCTTCTGGGTTTCTCCATGTGGATACAGGGGCACAAGGACTTGAGCTATCCTCCACTGCCTTCCCAGGCCATTGTCTGAGAGCTGGATGGGAAGGTGGGGCAGCTGGGATATAAACTGGCACCCATATGTGATCCCAGTGCATGCAAGGCAAGGACTTCAGCCACTAGGCTATCACACCGAGCCTTCCACTGATCTTTCTTTCTTTCTTTCTTTCTTTCTTTCTTTCTTTCTTTCTTTCTTTCTTTCTTTCTTTCTTTCTTTCTTTCTTTCTCTTTCTTTCTTTCCTTCCTTTCTTTCTTTCTTTCTTTCTTTCTTTCTTTCTTTCTTTCTTTCTTTCTTTCTTTCTTTCTTTCTTTCTTTCTTTCTTTCTTTTTAAAGACTTATTTGTTTTTATTGCAAAGTCAGATATACAGAGAGGAGAGACAGAGAGGAAGAGCTTCTGGCGATGATTCACTCCCTAAGTGACTGCAATGGTTGGTGCTGCACCGATCCAAAGCCAGGAGCCAGGAAACTTCCTCCAGGTCTTCCATGCAGTTGCAGGGTGCTAAGTAAGGCTTTGGGCTGTCCTCGACTGCTTTCCCAGGCCACAAGCAGGGAGCTGGGTGGAAAGTAGAGCTGCCAGGATTAGAACTGGCACCTATATGGGAGGACTTTAGGCACTAGGCCACTGTGCCAGTCCCAGCACTTCTTTAAGGAAGAGATTTAAGTACAGGAGTATATGTGTATATATACTCTGAAATATATATATATTTTCTTTCCTAACTACTATTCACTTATTTTAGAAAATATCAGGAGGTCACACATTTAAAACCATCTATCACCCAGAGATGTGTATCAGTGATATCTTCTAATCTTTGTCTTTTATTAAAATATTTTGTTTTACTTATTTATTTGAAAAGCAGAGTGACAGAAAATGCAAGAGTAAGGTGAGAAAGAGAAGAGAAATTTCTATCTGCTGATTCCATCCCCTAGTGGCCACAGCAGCCAGGGCTGGGCCACGCCAAAGCCAGGAGTCAGAAAGTCCATGAATGGCTCTCACGTGGATGGCAGGGGCTCAAACACTCGGGTAGTATAGCCGGGACTTGAACTAGCACTCTTACAGAATGCTGGTGTCTTGAGTTGTAGTTTAATCCACTGTGCTTCACACATGTTATGCACACCCCCATATTTATTTTAAAACAATGGATTCATACTACATGTTACTATACCTGTATCATTAGTCTTTTGTATCATTAAAAAATAATTTTAGGAGGTGGCCTGTGGCTTGGTGCTTAAGACACGTGTGTCCCATATCAGAGTTCAATTCCTGGCTGTGACCAGCTTTACGCCAGTGGACCCTGAGAGAAGCAATGGTGGCTCATGTGGTTGGGTTTCTGCCAACCTGATGTGATACCTGGATTGAGTTCCTGGTTCCCGGCTTTGGGGTAGCCCAGCCCCAACTGTTGTGGGCATTTGAGGGAGTGAACCAGATACTGGGATTTCTTTCTATCTCTCAAACAAATAAATAAAATTTTAAAATAATCTTTATTATTTTTTTCATATTCAGTGAGCATTTCAGACATTGTGAGCTAATATGTAATCATTGCACATATTTAGGAATAATATTTTAATTCTGGGTCAGTTTTAATTGCTCCAAGGAATTCCATTGCCGGAGTCCAGCTCCAGCTGAGTTCCGAACTCGCAAAGGGTGCGTGGATGAGGCGCAAAGAAGAAAGAAAGACAGACCACTAGGATTTCATCATAATGGACAATGCACAAAAGCTGTCCCCTTTATTTATACAAAATCAGTCAAAACTCTGGCTCAGAATTTTTACTTTTTACGTCATGGTCAAGTGGGTGTTTCTAAAGATAACTCTGCCATTTGTTTCACCTAAGGCTAGGATGTTATCCACCTGGCACCTGGCTAGGAAAAAGTTCTCAATAGATGGTGCATATCAATCAGTAACACATTCCTACCACAATTCTCATTCTACAGCTTGGTCTTGAGACAGTCAAGGAAGGAAGAACTTCACAGGAGGGACCTAAAAGATCAAAGAAAGAGGGAAAGAATAGATTCCACTACACCTGAAGACAGAACACCCTTGATTAGCATAGGATCAAAAGGGGAGTTAGCACCCTTGATTAGCATATTGCCACAGGATGCAGCCATAACAGCAATAACAGCTTTTTGGCTAAAAAAAAAAAAAAAATGGTAACAGCAACATCAGCTTCTAAGCTCCTATTGATATTTAACAGTAACTCCGCAGAGGCAGACAATGCCTAAATAGATTACAGAAATCTCAATGGGGTTGTCTGGTGTCCATGCAAAGGGAGGCAGAGCTGCATTCAGGTGGTCCTAGAGACATCCGCCAAACAACCAGAAGTTCCTTGCAGCCCTGCCTGCAATGGAACAGTACTCTTCACACCTTCCTGTCTTCCACACCCATCACACGGACCCCAGCATTCCATGGCATAAACATTCCGTGATTTCACCAGTTCTTTTTATTTAGATGGGTCCCACCTTTATTGGGCTGGGTTGGGGGTATGGTGTGGTGTTTGTGATGTCCTCATCCCATATCAGATGCAAGTTTGAGTCTCAGATGCTCCATCGCAGATCCAGCTTCCTGTTAATGTGCCTGGAAAGGCAGTGGGAGGTGACGGGTGATTGGGCTGCTGCTACCCACGTGATAGATGCGATGGAGTTCACCCTGGCCCAAATCTGACTGTTGCAGGCATTTGGGAAGTGAGCCAGCAGGTGGGAAGTCTCGTTTCGTCTCTCTCTGCCACTGTGTCTTTCAAATAAATAAGCTAATATTTTTTAAAATATCTTGAACTTTGGTACTGGGAAAAAATTCTTCCATCTAACTGTGGATATGACAGTTCAGGTTATTTTCTAGGTCTACTTTCTCAAACGCAGAACATCCCAGATGGAAACCTTTGGCAAATTAAACTGAGTAGCTCGCTCCTAAAGACCTGGAGCCTGGGATCTCTTTTGGGTTGGAATTTACATCCAGTTCACTCTGTGCTTGAGATCTTGCAGGCATATTGCTTCATCCTGGAGAAGCTGCTGGAGAATGAGGAAACCCAAATTAATGGTTTCTGCATCATCGAGAATTTCAAGGGCTTCACCATGCAGCAGGCTGCGGGGCTCCGGCCTGCGGACCTCAGGAAGATGGTGGACATGCTCCAGGTGAGGCCTGGGAACTGGTCCTGGCTGGACCTCCCAGGGGGGTGAGGACACTGCAAGGCAGGCTGGCAAGGACATGAGAAGAGGCCCCTTTGTGCCACAAAGAGCAGAGTCAACTACATTTGCAACCACAGACACTTGCAAAGTGATCAACACTTTGGCAAGTTTGACTCCTTGCAAATCTTCTCTCAGTGACTCCTTGTTCCCTTTTACAAACCTGAGAACCGAGGCAGCAATCGAAGTGACTCTCAAGGTCACAGTGATAGAGTGGCAGAGGCTCGGCTTGCCCCTACCTGTGCCCATCTACAAGCTCGTGTTCTCCGTCCGTAGCTGTCATGCCACTTCTGTCTTTGAATGAGGATGAGGAAGGGATAGCATCCCGTCACTGGCAGCTCACTCCTCCTAAGGGGCCTTCAAAAACCTAGCAGAAGAGGCAGGCATTGGGTTTAGTGATTAAAATTCCTGAATCCCACTTTGGGGTGCATGGGTATGAGTCCCAGCCCTGGCTCCCACTTCCAGCATCCTTCTAATGCTCCTGGGAAGGTAGCAGATGATGGGCCAAGTGCCTGGGCCCCTGCTCCGGAGTGGGAGACCCAGCTGGAGCCCCTGACTCCTGCTTAGGCCTGACTCAGTCCTGGCTGTTGCATCTGTTGGAGGAGAGAACCAGCAAACAGAAGATCTTTGTCCTTCTCTCTTTCCTGCTGTCTCTGTCACCCTAACTTTTAAATAAACAAATAAATAAATAATAATAATAAATAAATAAAAATTAAGTTCATGGAAAAGTAAAATTATGAAAAAAACCCCTATGTATGAAATTTAATGTTTAAATTGGGAAGGGGATAAGGGAAATACCAGGAGTCTATGCAGCTGTATCATAAAATGATGATGATGATGATGATAATAATAATAATAAAAAAGAATTTCCATTTTCAAAGTGAAAAAAAAAATAGAAAAAAAGTAACTTAAACGTTTGGACCAAAATAGACTTTAATTCCATTTTCCATGAATGCTTTGAAGTGTGCTGTGTATTCTGATGTGTCAGGAGTCCTTTCTTACCCTGCTCCTTGGAAATCTGGGGATGGGGTGGGACAGGTGCATGGGAGGGGCTGACAGTAGTTCCCAGTGGTCTCCAACTAACAGTTTCCAATGAACTCCACAGACCAGTGGATTTGAAAAAGCCCAATCACCAAAAAAAAATTAGCAAGGTTGCTGTTTTGCTTCTTCGCCTAATTCTGGGGCTCATTGCCTCTGCAGGGGCAGAGTTGAGTGGTGGCCCTTCTGGGGCTTCCCACTTGCAGTGTGGGTGCCACTGGGGAAGGGACGGGATCGGGGATGGAAAGAGGAGGCCACTGGGAGTCTCTCTGCCAATGCAGGATTCCTTCCCGGCCCGGTTCAAAGCCATCCACTTCATCCATCAACCATGGTACTTCACCACCACCTACAACGTGGTCAAGCCCTTCCTGAAGAGCAAGCTGCTGGAGAGGGTGAGTGTGGGGCCTGTTGTGGAAGGATGTGATGAAGAGAGGAGGCCAGCGGGCTGAGGGCCCCACCGTCTGCACCCTGGTCCTGAACCACCCAACCCTGATGGCACAGCCTGCAGGGCCCTGCAGAAGGACCTCATGGTGCGGGGGAGGGCTTGTTCCCTGTCCTTGGCTGGAGCCCCCTCCCACTCAGCTGTCTCCTCACTGCCCTGCAGGTCTTTGTCCATGGAGATGACCTGTCTGGCTTCTTCCAGGAGATTGATGAGAACATCCTGCCGGCCGACTTTGGGGGCACCCAGCCCAAGTACGATGGCAAGGCTGTTGCTGAGCAGCTCTTCGGCCCCCGGGCCCCAGCTGAGAACACGGCCCTCTGAGGATGACTGGGCCAGGTCCCTGGGCCCTCTCAGCTGTCCTGGGGCCCAGGTTGGGCAGCGAGCTGCCTGAGGAGACTCCCAGACCTCCTTAAGCTCCTCCCTCGCTTGGGGGGGGAGGCAGTAGAGCAGAATTCCCAGGGGGCAGTTATAGTTTCACCTGTCCCTGAGTCTGTAGGACGGTAACTGGTATGCACTTGAATTTCCAATCAGACTTTTCAGTGATTTCATTTCTAACAGATGCTTGCTACTTTAGGATCTGTGATAATAGGCAAGGGGCCTGGGGTGAAAGTCCTGCCCCAACACAATAAAAAAGAAATAAAGGAGGGGGGGGTGAAAATCCCAATGACTTGATTCAGCTGACACACTGATCTTGGCACCTGCAGACAGATCGGGGTTTTCCACACCGAATTTCAGGTGGAAGCAGCTTTGCAGCAGCTTCCTATCAGGTGGCCTGCCGCGGGTCCCCTGCAGTCTCCTGCGTGCAGTGAGGGTCAGGAGCTGTGCCCTCCTCCCAGGGCAGCCATGCCATCCCACTCCATCTGCAGTGGAAGTTTCTCACCCAGAGAGCTCTGCTCTGCACCCCTTGCTTGATGGATGGCTCCGTGCATGGGCAGGCCAAGCCTTTTCCTCCAGCCATACACCTAGAGCTCTTGGCTCTTCAGACTCAATTGGTTGACAATGATGCAATGGCACTTCTCGAATCTGCATATGTTGACAAATACAAATGATTTCTTTCTCTGGAGCTGGCTTTCCTGGGATGTGTGCTCATTTTGGACAGTGAAGTTGCCCGTGAAGATCCTCTCGGGGCGGGCATGCCGCTTTCCGTGGGGAGCGGTGGCTTCTCCTGGGCGTGAGGCTCCCAGGCACTGACTGAAGCCTCACTGAGGGGCTACACATACCTGCCACCTGGAATCAGATGCCTGATACTGCTGCTGGTCACGGATGAGGGCTGACTGGCCTGGTTGCTTCCACCCAGGTAGCCGAGGGAATCGGCCCACTTCCTTCCTTGTGGGGGCTTTTGGAGCAAGACTCCAACTGGTAGGTTGTTGGTTCCATCCAGTCCCATCTGTCTTCACACTTTTGGGAATTTTCCCAATGCACTGAGAGTCCTCTTTCTTGCTTTCCAGTGAGGATATGTATAAACACATGTACAAAGTTACTTGGCTGGCAGGAAGCTGGAGTCAGGTCACAGCCAGGAATGAAACTTAGACACTCTGATTAGGGACACACGTGTCTTAAGCACTAAGCCAAATACCTGCCCCTAGAGTAATTCTTTTTAAATTTATTTTATTGATAAATAATCCTGTTGAATCTGTGCCCCCATGGGCTGTTGATATCATAGGCAATGGCTTAACTCAAGTGCCCCACAATGCCAGTCCCCGGAATTTTCTAAAGGCACACCTCTAATTATTGTTTTCTTAAGAACTTTGTTCCAAATCTGAGAGAAACAGTTCTTGGTCCCTGAGAACTTACTTGCTTCTTTTCAGAACCCAGTATACTGGGAGCCATCTTGACCTGTGACAGCCCCATCTTTACAAATGGGGTCAGTCTACACAGAAAACTGCATGTTTGCAAGTTACTGACCAGTAGGCTCAGAGGGCAGCCTTGGTTCCCTGTCAGACCTGAAGGGATGCTGTGTTCTCCTTCAAGTCCACAGAGTTAGAGCCTCAGCCCAGGGTTCCTCCTGTCAAGAAAGCCCAGGAAATTTCTTAGAAAAAGTCCCAGCTTTGGGCTCCAGTGAGCATCTCCGATTATGGGCTCGAGGCGCCCCCTGCTGGCCCTGGCTGGCACTGCCCTTCCATGTACAAGCTAAGCGGGCAGGGAGTTGGGGTCGTTGGGGTCGTTGGGAGAAAGGGTGGAAAGACTGAATGTTGGAATTTGAGGTGTTTAGCCTCTTAAAGTTTCAGGTGCCTGTGTGTGATTCCTAAAGTAAGCCACAGCCCCTGCCCCCTCCCCTAGCTCATGAGATGGGAGGCCAATAAAGTGTCTTCCAAAGCTGCTTGCTAAGGGAACGGGAACAACAGAGCAGGGATTTGCCCATCACCACTTGACATCACAGAACAGTTTCACATCCAGAGACGCTGGGACAAAGTGGGATTCTGCGGAATAACAGGCGTTTGGACAGAGTCAGAGGGACACAGCAAGAGATTTTGGCCGTCCTCGTGTGACCCTTCAGAAACAGGAGACACCAATCGTGGGGCATTTCATCACCGTGTGGTTTGCAGCCTCACTAGGTAGGGGAAGGGACTGGCAGCTTCAGAGCGTCCTAGTGATACTGGCCGTCCAGCAGAGCCTTAGGAGGATGCCGATGTTGCTGGCCAGATTTCCTGGAGGAGGTGTGAACCCAGACCAACCAGAAGCAGAGGTGTGAGTCGGGCCACCTCTGATCCCAGGTGCCGGGTCTGGAGCCTTGCTGCTTGAAATGAGGTCGGTGGAGGGTGGCAGAGACCACAGAGTCCCCAAAACAGTGGTGACACCTCTAGCTTTTACACTCTCCAAGGAGGCAGCATGTCAGTGTGAACCAACAGCCGAAACCACTGCCTGAAGTAACACAGTTTTGCAAAATATTACAGGTTGAGTATGTTATTCAAAGAGGGAATCAGAAAGTGTTTTGCCATTACAGATTTTTTGGATGTTGGAATATTTGCATATTTAAAATGAGATATCATGGCGAAAAGAATCCAAGTCAAAACATGAAATTTAGTTCATATATGCCTCATACACATACACTGAAGGTAATTTTATATATTATCTTGTAATTTTGTGCATGAAGGAAACGTTTCCTGAACATCAGAAAGAGTTATCATTAGCTGCTGATGTGGACAATTTGCAGTTTCTTGGCATCATTAGGATTCCTGATTGAATTTATGTGTTATCCATAAGCAATCATGTCATTTGGTATGTTTTAAGATTTATTTTATTTTTATTGGAAAGGCAGATATACAGAAAGGAGGACAGGACAATCTTCCATCTGATTCACTCCCCAAGTGGCTGCAATGGCTGGAGCTGAGCCAACCCAAAGCCAAGAGCCTGGAGCTTCTCCTGGGTTTCCCACCCAAGTGCAGGGTGCCAAGACTTTGAGCCATCCTCGACTGCTTTCCCAGGCTGCAAGCAGGGAGCTGGATGGGAAGTGGAGCTGCTGGGATTAGAACCGGCGCCCATGTGGGATCCCGGCGTATTCAAGGCGAGGACCTTAGCCACTAGGCTTCTGCACTGGGTCCTGAGCAGCCCCTTCCTTTTCTCAGTATTATATTTTTACTAAGATTCCTCATAGGAAATCAGGTGTGGAATTTTTTTTACTTATGACATGGTGCCACTCAAGTTTCAGATTTGGAAGCATGTTGGATTTTCAGACTAGGCGTGTACAGATGAGGGGTATCGCAGCTACTCGATTTCCTGAGGTAGGCATCTAATTATTTCCATTTTATTGGTTAAATCTTGTTTGGAGGCTCAAAGACCTAGGAATTGCTTAGAATGGGACCATGGGACCCCAACCCACAAGTGCAGTCAAATCCCTTTGACTCCCTATTCACGCTTTGCCTCAAATGCTCCTATATTGATGTGGGCTTGGGAAGTGCAGGTAGGAGCAGGAAAAGAATGATAATGAAAAAAACCCCACTTATTCCAAGTCAAATTCTCCAACCATCAGCAGATAAAGGAGGAAATAACTTTAAGGGGAAACCTCTCTTCTGCAGAGATGCTGATCTAACCACAGAGGGAGGGGTTCAGTTTGATCTCTGGAGACAAATTCGGTAGTTCAAGGGCAAGCTGTCCTTCAGCCAGAGAGGAGTGCCTGGCGCCTTCCTGGGTGTCCCTCTAAGGATGCCCAAGAGAGAAAAGGAGCAGAGGCCGTCAAGGGCAAGGCCATCTGGTTAGGTGCTTGGTCCTTGCCATGGGCAAGGACTCTCTTTAGAGCTGGGAGCCCATTAAATAAACGAGAACTCTGATAAAAGTGTCAGCCCCACTGGGGCAGCGAATGAGGTGTTTGTCACATGCTTGAAGGCTGCCTCGGGAGAGCGATGGCAAATGACCATACGGGCAGGCTGTTGGCACCGTCCCACCTAGCACCTGCAGCCTGAGCCCTCTTCCAGGCAGCTTTTCCTAAGTGGTTGTCTCAGCAAGGTGACTTCCTTTCACGAGAGTCAGCTAGTTTTACAGGGGTGGTGGCACCTGCAGAAGCTTGCCCACCAGAGCTGTGAATCTTGTAATATGCTATTGGGCATTCTTGGGTCTTCCATGCCTCACGTTTTGCGAGGCAGTGTTGAGAGCTTCCGAGTACAGGGGTGACAAAAATCTCTTTTGGCTAAGCCAGTGCTTAGACCAAGGAGATCCTTAGCTGGGGTTTGGACTGGTTTAGAGATGATCCTCTTTACACCATCTGCTACATCACCCTACAAAAGCCCTGAACAGCCAGGGTTGATGCAGGCTGGGTCTCCCATGTGGGTGGGAGGTACTCAAGTACTTGACTTGCTGGTTCCCAGTACCTGTGCCAACAGGAAGCCGGAATTAGGAGCAGAGCTGGGATTTGAACCCAGGCACTTATAGGGGATCTAAGTGTCCAGAGCAGCTCACTGCAAAATCTTAACTGCTATGCCAAACTGTCTTGATTTAGGTCATGTTCACCTGGTCTTTTCAAATAACGTTGCCAGAAAACCATAGGAATTACACATGCCAAATACCAGGTCCATTTTGCCCAATCGTGCTCTCTACAAAGGACACACAGCCACACCACATTTTAGTCTTTATTACGTTTTTTTTTTTTTAAGTAAAGAAATCCCATGGAATCCAAGATAACAAAATTACAGTTTTTGTTTGCAATGATTGTTGTTTACCACCACACAGAATCCAAGTAGAATCAAAAGTAATTATGAGAAGATAATAAAATAATCAGGACACCATTGTTTAGTATCGTTTCTTAATAAAGGTAAATATTCCCATATTTAGAAAAAATTGCATTGCTAGTTGCGAATCTTAAATACCTCAGTGCTAATGGATCCTGAATTCCATCCCCCACCCCCCGCCCAAAGATCCAGCTGCACGGAGGCTCTCAGAACACAAATGCAAAAATACAGTATTTTCAGGGCAGCATGTTTAAGTTTTAGAAAATTCAAACAAAACACAACAAAAACAAAGCAGGATTAGGAATGTGAAAGTGATGGTTCTCCAAAAATCAATCTGGAAGCAGAGATGCCAACAGAAGAATGCGGTTGAACGGAGTCCACCCAGGACAAGGAGAGGCACGACCCCGCTCTTCCTCCCCCGTCCCCACTCCCTCCCGCCCTGGTGTCCCGAAGGCAGCTGCAGTGGCGGATGTCAAAAGCTCAGGTAGTGAAGGTCTTCCTGAGGCACTGGGAGACCCGGATCACCTAGAACTGGTGCTGAGAGGTGGCAGGATTCTACACTGGACTTGTGCTTTCAGAAAACTAAAGCAAGGCTGAGAAGAACCAAACAAAGCCCAGCTCCTATGCCCAGGAACTTCGTCCACGCTCAAGAGTAGCCAGGAAAAGATGTGGTGGCGCGGACGTTGGGGAGAGGCGGGGGTGGGGTGGGCAGTTATCACAGGAGGCTGTTGGCTGCTTAGGTTGGCATTGGGGGGGGCGTGTCGTGGTGAACTCTCATGGAAACTGAAGGTGTTTCTGCAGGTGCTGTAAGAGGATTGGCCCCAAATTATGGCAATAATGGATCTCTTGGCTAATGGGGACCAGAACGGTGAGAAGGCAGAGTATTGGTTTCATTGACTGATAGCCTCTAGTTAAAATGCTGAAAGCTTCGAGGGACTCAACAATGTAGGACTGAGCCCACCTGTCAGAGACGGACTTCAGCTCATCTATGAAGGACACGTGGAAGCTTTACCCACAAACATGCTAGGAAAAACGTCAGAAAACAGGGGACACTGGCACACTTTCCAAGGGGCCTTTCCGGTAGTCAGCACAACTGGTGAGGCTGACTGGGCCCAGGATCCAGGGCTGGCGACGCAGTGAAGCAGGCGAGAGGAAGCTGCCCCTGCTTTGGAAGGTGTTCCGGTGCTTTCTGCCTGCAGGAGCCAGTTCCCCTTTCCTTAGTTTCAAATACAATTTGGCAAAGCAATCCTAGTTTAGAAAGGGGTGGGGGCAGAGAGGGCATGTCCTCTGCTCAGGTAGCAGAGGTACAGGATAGTCTTTCCCTCGACTGCTTGGCTTCTGAACGCCAGAGGCAGGCCACTTTCCATGATTTTCGGAAGCAGCCAATAATCCAAAGTGGCTTTGAAGAACAGTGTAGGGTCCCGAGAAGATAGGAAGGTAAAAATGCAGTGTTTTGGCTGGTTCCAGACCATTCATACTGGTGAGGGGTGGAATGGGAAGATGAAAATGAAATAGGAGCTCCTAGGCCACGTGAGGGGATTGGAGGAGTTTGCTATGGCTCCGCTCTAAGCTCCCGTAGCAGGAGACTTAAGAGTTCCAATGCCATGATATTGTAATACCAGGGGATTTTCTAGAGGCAAGTTAAGGCTTTCTAGGCAAAGGACCAACAATTCCTGATGCCACAGTGACAGAAAGCTACAGTGAAGATGCTAAGTAGCTCCACCCGGCTGCCTAATAGGCAAAGACCGTGAGTTCCTTCAACTCTGCCGGGTGAGCCTCACTGTGCCTCCAAGAGGGAATCAATGCCTCTCACATCGCAGACACCTGCTTGCCTGGCAGACACTAACAAGAACGCACACCCGGCTTCCTGGGAGCTGGCCCAACAGTCTTGAGTCACACAGTCACAATGAGTGCTCTCATTCAGGCCAAGGTCAGCTTTCACCAAGGCTGTGGTTGTGGGCTGGAAGCCCGAGCAGGAAGGGCTTTGCTCACAATGCCCTGCCTGAGCTGCACTACAGGATGGAGACGCTTCCCTCCTTCCGACGCCCAGCACCTGCCGCAGGCACAAGACCGCCCTCAGAAGAGCCAGGATGCTGTGCTTGGTGACAGTGGGATGCTCTGAAGTAAGAGGCTGAAGACACAGGGCTCTGGACAGCATCCAGCTCCTGCCAGCAAAGGCCTCACGTGGAACATCCCGCCCGGCAAAGGCGCCTCAAGGCAAGCGCTGAGCCTTGCCACAGCTGTCTCCACTTGCGAGGGCTGGGGAAGCCAAGGTCAGGCAAATGTTGCATCAAGAGATGACCTGGTTTTAGACAAGCTGGAAGAGGAGGTTACACAGGCTCAGGAGGTGAAGGGAGTGAGGGAGACTTGCCTGTGATCCAGTGTGAATAAGAGACCGGACAAGGACCCAGGTATAGGGGACCCTGGTTCCATAACACTAAGTGGAGAAGGGAATACTCCCCTTTTGGGTGCCTTTCCACCCTTCTGGTAGGACAGGGGTTCCCTGTACAGGTCACACAACCCCAGAGTTTAGATGAGTATTTTAACAACTTCCTGTCTGCAATCACTGGGTGCAATCGCCCAGCAGGAAAGAGAGGGTTTTTTTTTTCAAGTCTGCTACACTCCCTTCTAACATACATGCGGCTAGGAGAACTGGCACTAAATTTTAAAGTCAGAAATTCCTCATGTGCCTGGGATGAGTGTCTCATCAGTGGCTTCAGACTGTTTAGGAGAGAGGGTCCAGCTGGAGAACCGTGGGTGTCGTCCCCGTCTTTGTGCTAGGTCATTTATACAACAAACTGTCTAGACTATGTAATTTATATCTTTAATATGATTTCAAAATATTATTTCCAAACACCCTTAAAAGAAAAAACAAACCTCAATCTTATTTTACCCCAATTAGGAACAAAGAGCAAAAAGGGCATTCATAGTAGCATCAGAAATGGATGACCTTGGTGGGGGGGCAAAGCAAGGAAGTGGAGGACGGAAAGGAGCTGACCTACATGAACGGTGCCACTCCCTCGTTGATTAGACAAGTTGGCATCCCTGAATTCAATGTCTCTGTGTTTTCATTCAGGGACAACCAAGGATTTTCCTGAAAGACAGACACAGTCACTTTCTCATTTCCAGGCCCGAGAGCCTGACGTGCAAACAAAGGGCTTCCGTTGATGTCATGTGAGCCAAGATGGGACGTCAGTGCTTTTCAGAGCCACACAGGGATTTCAGCTGGGACGCGGCCCTCGCAGCCCTGCGGGGACATTCTGGCATTGAGGAAGCAGAGGCTACGCCCCCAGCCCTGCCTCTCCTGTGTGGGGGTCATCGGAACAATGCAGACCAGGCTCGCTCAAGGACTCCCAGTCCCCTGCCATGGGTGTGTTACAGGACCGCCATTCCCCTTCCGGTACCTGGGTAGCTTCTGTCAGAATAGTTCAAGACACGTGGCCTCAGGCAAATGAAAACAAGTCTCTCACTTCCTGGGACAGTGATTCAATTCTACTAAGTTATTGCTTGGTTCAACTATTTGCACAGGAATGAATGTTAACAGGAGGAAACAGGACTATGAGTTTTCTAGATTACAAGTGTGTTTGGGTGGAGGGAAAAGTAACAGAGAGGCACTGGCTTCCAAATCAAGGGGTAGGTGATAAAGTGCCAATCTGTGCTGAAGGAATATGAAAAAGAAACACAGGAGAGAAATAGCAACTCGGGGGAAAGTCACGGAGACAGGATTTGGTGGGTGTGAGAAATGACACACTGAAGTAAATTAGTTGAGATGACAGATATCTCAATCTTTTGAGACAAATGGCTGTTGTTTCATGTTAGAAGGAAGATCTGGTGATTGCCAGAAAACAATTTCTCGAGGCGACAGAGTCCAAACTATACCCACCCGTGACCGTCTGGGTCTCAGGCAGATCCTCTGATTCCCACACATCCACACAGACCCACTATTTCTCTTGCAGCCTGTTGTGGAGCCAAAGGTGACACATGGATTTTATCAGGATCCAGGCAGTTTCACCCATGGGTCTGCTCAGTTTCAGACAGCAGCTGTGGATTTTTCAAAGTGTAGGGTTTTTAGAGAGCTAAGCCACAGGTTTGCAGAAAAGGAATACTTAGAACCCAGAATGGGAAAGATCTACCCAATATTCCACAAATATAGAGTTATTAGAAATCTGGTCTCCAAGTCATATCTTTTGGTTGCAAGTATTTTTCTCTAAACTCAAATCTAACTTTTGAATTGACTGGTATCAAAAGCCACAGACAGAGAGACCTGGGTTAAAACACTAAAGTTACAATTGCTTAAAAAAAAAAAATCCCCAAAACTTTTTAATATGAAATGAGGGACTACAGAAGAAAGGCAAACGATGTCACCCACATGCTTTGCCTGGGAGAATAGTCCCCAGGCTCCCCTGGAGTGATGTTCTCTCAAACCTCAGTACACTGAGTTTGTCATTTGAACTTTAGTAGTAGTTGTCTCGGCAATCTACCTGGTCCAAGTCCCTCACACTACAGGTAAGGAAGTTGAAAGTCTGAGAGGACTTTTCCAGGGTCATATAGCCACGAAGAGGCAGAGCCAGGGTTCATTCGTATCCAGGGCCTGTCTGGAGACTCTACACCTGCTACTCAGCAGGTCCCTGGGAGTGAAGAGACACTTGTGACCGTGACTCAAGAAAGATCAGCTACCAAGATGTTTCTAAGGTAGAGGGGCTATACAACAGGGCTTTTCCTATGGATCTGGTGATGACAGCCGCCTGGGGCACTGGTCAGACATTAAAATCCCCAGACCCCTCCCCAGACTCACCGCCTCAGCTTCTCCAAGGGGAAGGACCTGGGAGGCTGAATTTTTAACAAGTGCCCCATGGGACTCTCCATCAGCAGCAAGGTGAGGGAAAACTGCCTTAGCAGCAGTAAGGGGGGAAAACTTGGCTTATGACTTGTGGGAATTTCCTTTCTCGTTTAAGAGGCCGCACACTGGGAGAACCCCCAGACTCCCAGATGGGGGTGTGCCTTCAGTGCTGGCTTAGAATGATCTCTGAGTCTACGTGCAGGCACATACAACCACCACCAAATAGCATTTGTCAGACTGCTCTCTGGGAAAAGCCTTTTGACTGGCAAAGCAAAAGTGCTATTCACACACATTTTTAATAGGGAAACTAGATGTCATTGGCTCGAAAGCAATCAGATGCTGAAACTGGACAGGAGGGTGAGAACCTGTCACTTGTCACCATGGCTAATGATACAACACAGGGAACCAGTAACTAAGCACAAAAAATAGCCTGGAGCTCCCAGAGAGCCGCCTATTGAAGACGTGCGTGGTGGGTGGGCCCCTCCCCGCTGATGGTGAGGTCAGATCCAGGTCATGGAGGGAAATGGGAGACCTGAAATAGCGGGTGAGGGGACGCGGGTTCCAGAGGAGGGCTGCTGGAGCCGCGCAGGAGTCCGAGGCCTCACTCCAGGTCGGCCTCCACCTGCTCCGTGTCGGAGCACTGCGACTTGTTCCGTTCCCACTGGCAGATGGCATTTGCGTACTCTACCACCAGCTTATCCATCCACGTCAGGGGCTCGGGGAACAGCACGGAGCCCTCGAAGAAGCCCAGGTGGCCCCCATGCAGGGGCAGCACGAACATGACGTTCTCCCGTTTCTCTGCAGGGCAGAAGCAGGGAGTGAGTGAGCTTCTGTCCTCTGGTAGGAGGTGCGAAAGCAATGGCCGGGGTGTCCAAGGCCTGTGCCATAGGGAAAAGCCACCTACTGGGGCTTCCTACCTTTACTCACTCTCTTTGATCCCCCCAGACTAGGCAGAACTTTGCTGGGGCAGGTAAGACAGAGCGACTGGCAGATATTAGGTGCTTTTGGTTTGTTTTTCATTTTTTAATGAAGACACATACACACGGGGCGGGGGTGGGGCTGGGAGTGAAGGGAGAGAGAATCTCATATTCCTTCCACCTGCTGGTTCTTTTTCCAAATGCCCTGGGCTGGGCCAGGCTGAACAGGAGCCAGGGACTCACAACACAGGTGGCAGGAATTTTATTGCTTCAGCCATTGTTGCCTCCCAGGGTCTGCGTTAACAGGAGGCTGGAGAAAGGAGCTTGAGCCAGTATAGACGGGAGAGTTCTAGCTGGTGTTTTAACCACTGTGCTAACTGCCTGCCCTGATTTGGAATAGCAGCTTAGCTTTGGAGCAGGGTGGCACCAGCTTAAGAAATCCTGAGCGGTCTGTGTGGAGGAGGGGCAGCCAGGCGCTACACGGCTGAAGTCCAGCTTTGATGGGGAAGCCAAGCCACCTGGGCCATCCAGTTAACACACAGGTTGTGATTTAGCAAGCCCTAGGAGGGAGCTCTGATGTCCTGGATTTCTAACACACCTCTAAGGTCCAGCTCTGAACAGGGAGTAATGGCACTGATTGTATTATCTGCTAAAGAACAAGAATAATTCAGTGAACCACTAGCTTTCATTATAGACGTTGATCTTCACCATGGAGATTTAACTTAAAGCTGCAAGCTGTGTCAGGATGCCCAAGCTCTCGAGGTCATGTGCCACCCTGAGAATTCAAAACCTCAGCTTGACTTCAGAAATCCATGTTTAGGTTGGTCTCACCTAGGCGAGTAAAGCTATTACTGAAGAAGTGTGTGGAATGGGCAGCCAGGCGCAGCAGGAAGCAGCTGTCTACCGGGGAACTCAGGGACATGGCCCACACCCCGCTGACTCTGTAGGGCTCCCTTCTTGTCCCACCCCCTTCCATCTTCCCTTTCAATTGCTATTTTATAGACTTCTTTGTGTCAGCACTAGAGCTGTGCAAGTTATTGTAGATGCACAAAGGAAATACGTGCCACTCTTGGTTCTCTCCTCACTGCCACACATGTGGACAAGCGGGCTGCCTCTGTCAGGGAGCCCGTGGAAGGATGGGATAGCGTTCATCTCCAACATATGCAGCCCCCATCCTGTGGGGGCTTTTTTCACTTTGCCATCCATCCCAGCGTAGGGCCACGAGAGGACCGGAGGTGTATTTAACACATGATGTGTGTGAGACCCAGCCCGAGGATTGCGGAGGGCAGGTGGCTTTGTTCTAGGGATTTGAAATGATGACGCGAAGGCTCCTGGAACCCTCGTGCTTCCTCTGCTACCCTCTTGCTGCTACTCAGTGCTTAACCTGAGCATGCAGTCATGCACTCTTGAAACTACACTTCCAAACTTAAAGCAGCCACAATCCCAAGGCATGGGTTTCACAGAACCTGGCTATGTCTTTGAGTGGTGGTCCTGTCCCGTACTGGTGGCGGGTAGCAGAAGGCTCTGCCCAGGCCCCCATCATAGCCACAGGACTATTAGGGACACCATCGCGAGTTGTACTTCCCCCCAAATGGCGTGGCCTCTGGGAGACCACGGCATAGTGAAGGGAACAGACTTGGCTGTGGTAATTTGCTGAGTGGACGGCAGGGTGGGCGGCAGGCGGGGAGGAGAGAAACCCTTACCTGAGAGAGATTTCGGAATGGTCAGCAGACTTTCATGCACTAATGGGTCGTCGGCTGCGTTGACTAGCATGAGAGGCACATAAATCTGCAACAAGAAAGTCAAGCAGAATTAAATGATTGGTTCCCCCTTTCAGGTCTCATTTGAGTTAAGGCTCAAGTTCACGGCTGAACATTATCTTAAAGGCAAAGAGAGAGGGTCACACAGCTCAGCTTGCCGAAGAGGTGGCACTGGGATGAGTTCCAAGTGCCTCTGTGATCACAGTCCGGCAGCAGGCATGTAGAGGACCCGGTAACACAGGGACCCCCCAGACTCCCGTGGAGAGAAAGAGAGAGAGAGAGAGAGAGAGAGAGAGAGAGAGAGAGAAGCCCTATGGCATCCACAGGCAAATACTGCCAACTAACCATGCCTTTTAGAAAATGCGACTTTGGGCCCAGCGCGATAACCTAGTGACTAAAGTCCTCTCCTTGCATGCGCCAGGATCCCATATGGCTGCCGGTTCTAATCCCAGCAGCCCCACTTCCCATCCAGCTCCCTGCTTGTGGCCTAGGAAGGCAATTGAGGATGGCCCAAAGCCTTGGGACCCTGCACCAGTGTGGGAGACCTGGAAGAAGCTCCTGGCTCCTGGCTCAGCTCTAGCCCTTGTGGCCACTTGAGGTGTGAATCAAGAGACGGAAGATCTTCCTCTCTGTCTCTCCACAAAAACCAAAAACCAAAAACCAACTCTTAAAAAACCCACAAAAAACGCAGCTTTACAGAGTCAGGTACCTATGAATTCAGTTTGTACTGGCAAAGAGGGCTTTCTAGAAGAATCTAGAAGTTGAAAGGAAGAGGAGAACTCTCTTGGCAGGGTTCCATTCAGCATTTAACAGAACAGTGATGGTACCACACTGGGAGGAATGGCTGATGTGACCGACAACACAACTACAATTTCCAATTATGTGCTCCCTGGGAGAAGAATGGGACAAACCAACAGAGGTGTACATGGACCGGGCTAATTGGGAAGTTACATATTTGTGTAAAAAGAGCAACTGTGTGAAGACAGATGGGAGAAATTGACTCAGTGGTGGCTCAAATAATAAAAAAAAATACATCAGGACTGTGGTTTGCTGTAAGCTTAAAAAGCAGCTTATTGTAGCTGCTAATAACTGCACTCATGCAGACCAGTTGCTAAACATACTTTGATCAAACAGAAGCACGTCTGTTTTACTCGGCTTGCCAGATTAGGGCAGGAATATGCAGTTCGGCTGTAGCATCATTCTAACAAAAAAATGCACAGTGACTCTGAGGTAAGTGTCCAAGGACGGCATGGGATCTAGGTGAATCTCCCTCCAGGGCAGAAACCAGGAAGGGTTGTGCTGTCAAAGGGAGACTGAGGGCAAACTGGGTTTCTCTCCGGATATGGGCACACCCTGGACTACAGGCGGCTCTGGGGTGAGCCTATGATGGCCACTGAATCTGAGCCAATCATGAATCCACGCAACAGAGTCAAGCGCTTCAAGCCAGGTTCTGGCTGCGCTTCCACCGACAGATTGAGGAGGAATATTCACACTGTGCACGCAGCTGTGCACGCAGCTGGATGGGGCGCCAGGAATTCCGAGCCGGTGCTGGCCACTTACCCGGTGCAGGTACCGCATACAGCTTTCCTCCTCGTAGTATTCCTTCAAGGAGTTATAGCCATGGAACTTCCTGCAGAACACACACATACACACACAAGGAAAGCACAAAACAACCTTTATCACAAGGCTGCACTGCTGAGCCAATTATTATCCAGTTCCTGCACCAACATGTTGCATTAGTAGAGAATATAAAGGTCTCTTTCAAAGCTATGCATAGATTAAAAATCTTTTTGCCTCATAAGAAGTGTATCGGTTGGTTCCATTTTTCTTGTTTTTTTTTTTTTTTTTTTAAGTACCTTCGTAGACACAGGTAGCAGAGGTCGGTCTCAATGCTGCACTGGTTTTATTATTGCTTCTAATTCGGTACTAACTCATGTCAGTAGAACACAGGTAGGCAGCACAGACGGGAGCCAAGAGTTGGGGTTTGGGGCCTGGTGTGATGGCCTACTGGTTAAAATCCTCGTCTTGCACATGCTGGGATCCCATATGGGCACTGGTTCTAGGCCTGGCTGCTGTATTTCTCATCCAGCTCCCTGCTTGTGGCCTGGGTAGATGGCAGCCCAGAGCCTTGGGACCCTGCATCTGTGTGGGAGACCTGGGAGACGCTCCTGGCTCCTGGCTTTGGAATGGCTCAGCTCTGGCCGTTGCAGCCACTTGGGGAGTGAACCAGTGGACACAAGATCTTTCTCTCTGTAAACCTACCTTTCCAAAAAAAATAAATCTTAAAAAAAGAAAAGTTGGGGTTTTGCAATCTGGATAAAATACTGGCTCCAGCACTTACTGCCTAAGTGACATGAGGCAAACGGCTCAGCTTTTTTGAACCTTGGTTTCCCCTCTGTGACACAGACTTGAAGACAGCAGCCATCACAGACACTGGCCAGCACAGTGACTCTGTGGTATCAGTTAGCTGTGATGCAGTTAATTTATCCTTTGATGCAGCCTAGAACCAGATATCACTGAATGGAGCATTCAAATTAAAAATGTTTCCTCCTCATTTGACACCACACCTAACCCCCTTAAGTGGGGGTGGATACCATTCATTCTCACTTTCTAAACATATCAGCAATTGCCTGGTTTTTCTATTTCATTTGAGAAACAATCAGCCTTTTTTAAGCTCCTTAGTGTGTGATGATGGCTCAAATCTCTGCAGGACAATACGCAGAGATCCCAAACGCCCTCGGGAGCCAAGGGCTGAACACCTGTTTCAGATCATGGCTCTTAGGATCGAAATGATCATTTCATAAGAAGGATGACCTTTTGAAAGAGAACTGATGAGTTCCGAGGTCAGCTCAACCTTTTCCAGCTCAGGCTGATCTCAGTTGGAAGCTGCTGTGACGGGAAAGAGGCCACTGTCAAGGCCGTGACTGCAGTTGCCCGGAAGGGCCTGGCAGGTGCAGAGGAAATGAGTGGGCAGGATTTGTGTCTTACAATCACAGAAGAGTCTTCACATCCCCAAAGAAAGAGGCTCTGTCAGTTTTGCTTGAAACCCACAGCCCTCTTGGACTGTTTTGTCTTTCTGCTTTTGACGGAGGCATTGAGAGAAGAAATATTTCCTTTTCTTCCAGCACAAATGCACATTCATGAGGCACCTGGTATCGGCTCTGGCTCTGAGGCAGGGCAGGCTGGGTGAGGGAAGCAGGGCTGGGCTTGCACCCTAGCTCCTTGGCTCGCACAGTTCCCGCAGTGTCCCGGGCCAGATCCTTTCACTGGTTTCCAAGAGAAACTAGGAATCTGGGTTTGTGAAATCCTGTTTTTAAATGTTGGATACTTAGTTAAAGAAGGGGAAAAAAAAATCCTTAAAGAGGGCGTGGCAAAGCCATTGTGCTGGGCACAGCTGGCCCCCTGCCCCAGGGCACAGCTCTTCCTCCCCGCCCTCCGGGCCTACCTCATCACGTTGTCATCAATCTGCATCAAGGAGGTTGCCGTGTAGAGCCGGCTCAAGTCTGTGTCCTCCAGGCTCTGGGGTTTCTTCACGTGGTCCCCAAAAAGGGCTTGCCTAGGAGGAGACACAAAAGTAGACAGGGAATAACAAGTGGAGGGGAATGAAGCAGAGCAGAGCAGGCTTCCTTGTCCAGAGGGAAGCCAGGAGAGATGGGTTTTCAGGTCGGAAATACTGAGATCCCTCCAGCCTGTATAACGCCCAGAGGACAAGCTTACACTTTGACTCTTGGAAAATGCCCGAGGGAGCAACACTGCCATCTGGTTTCCTTTCCAGAGGCAGCGAGGTACAGTAAGGACTTGGTCTGAGGCTAGCTGAACAGTACCCAGCCTTCTCCACAGGGGAAGGGGTCTCATGCTGGGCCCCTCTTTGGCATCTGTACTGACATGGTCCATTTGGCAGGGCCCCTCCTTTCCCTTCAGGAACTTGCTTATATTGCTCAACCATGAAGAGCTGGGCAAATCAGTCAATAGCTCTTCAACATGTTAGCTAAAAAGCTATACACACTTGCCCTGCCTAGGAGTATCAAACTCCATAGTTCTTCAAGTTCCTTATAAAAGGTGGCATACATAGTATGGGGCTGGTGTGGTGGCTCAACTGACTAATCCTCCATCTGCAAATGCCAGCATCCCATATGGGCACTGGTTCATGTGCTGGCTGTTCCACTTCCGATCCAGCTCTCTGCTAATGATCTGGGAAAGCAGCAGAGGATGGTCCAAGTCCTTGAGATTCTGGACCCATGAGGAGACCTAGAAGAAACTCCTGGTTCCTGGCTTTGGATTGGCTTAGCTCTGCCCATTGTGGCCACTTTGGGAAGTGATCTAGCTGATGGAAGAACTTTCTTTCCTTCTCTCTGTAAATTTGCCTTTCAATGAAAATAAATAAAATCTTAAGGTGGGAAAGTATTGCATATGATTCAGGCATATCCTTCTGTATACCTCAAATCATCCTTTTATTATTCTTAATTCCTTATATAAAGTAAATGCTATGTAAACAGTTATACTGTATCAATTATAGAAAAATGACCCTTAAAATTCTGTTTATGGGATATTGCCTGAAATAGACAGATATGGAACCTATGGTTTCAAAGGGTCAATTGTTTCCAGGGATCCTCGAGGACAAGAGCCACTTTGAGAGGACGGCCACCTGGCAGGGGTCAAGGTGCACCCCAGGCCTCCCGACCAGCAAGAACTCTGGACTCTTTTTGGGGAAGGACCGGGTTCGTGCTTAGGTTTGGCGTTCTTTAGAGGAAGACAGATTACCGAAACTCAATGCTCCGGTGTCCATTTGCAACATCTCCAAAGGAACAGGACACATTTCTTTAGCATTTTTAAAAGATTAAGACAATTCTACCTATGGGATAGAATTCACAGCTTCAAGTTTCCCTAATACGCCTATTTGGCTTTCTGCTTTTGGCTTTCTGTAATTTCAGAAACATAAACACGCACAGGGCACCCACAGGACACCTCTAATTTGTGAAGAATTACACAAAACTGATTGGTAGTAAAACAAAGCCTTTGATCGAAAACTTTTCAAGGAGTCACTGCGATTGAAGTCAGGGTCTGGTGCAATAGCGTAAAGGCTAAAGTCCTCGCCTTGCATGTGCCAGGATCCTATATAGGCGCTGATTCTCATTCTGGCGGTACCACTTTCCATCCAGCTCCCTGCCTGTGGCCTGGGAAAGCAAAGACGGCCCAAAGCCTTGAGACCCTGCACCCACGTAGGAGACCCAGAAGAGGCTCTGGGCTCCTTGCTTTGGATTGGCTCAGCTCTGGGCTGTTGCGGCTGCTTGGGGAATGAATCAATGGATGGAAGATCTTCCTCTCTGTCTCTCCTCCTCTCTGTATATCTGACTTTGCAATAAAAATAAAATAAAATCTTTAAGAAAAAGAAAATTGAGGTTTTCCACATGAATGGCAGGAACCAATGACTTGAGCCAGCACTTGCCAGGGCATTAAAAGCTGGAGTCAGGAGTGGAATGGGGTGTTAAACCCAGGCACTGCAATACAGGACACCGCTATCTTAACCGGTGTCTTAAATGCTAGGCAAAATGCCAATCTGGGAATTACTGTGGATTCCAGAAAAGCAGAAGGGTGGACAGAAGACTTGAACTTGGTGCCAAGGGCTAGGCTTCACCACTTCTGGTAGGAAGAGATCTGAGCAAATCCCCAGAACCATCTGCGCCTCAGCTGAGCCACCTGCTGCCTGGTGCCCAGCACTCAGCAGTTGCTCCAACAACACAAGCTGCGGGTCAACAATTGCTTGTCAAAGCACAGGGGGACACAGTTTCCCCCTGTTTTTCACTTCCTTGTGAGGTCCTGTGGATGGGCCCATATGGGCTTCTCGCAGGGGAACCCCACAGGAGAGCAATCCGGGGGTGAGGGGCCCGAGATGGCGGGGGGAGGGTTCTGACAAGCAGTGTGAGGGAAGAGCAGCGTCTGTTGGAGCAGAGTGGTCTGGGGGAGAGCAGATGCCACTTGAGCCCCTGCGTGGCCCGCTCCAGCGGGGGGGGGGGGATGAAGAAGTTGGAGATACAGTGATGACGGTGACCCTAGGGATAAAATCGCCCCTGTTCACTGACGGCTACCTCTCTGGCCGGTTCCGAGCAGGGGAGAAGTGGATGAGGAAGCTGAGAGTATGCAGAGGCTGCTTGCTGCGCTGGGCAGAATCCCAAGGGGCCAGCTCCAACTGAGCACTGATTCCCAGGCATGGAAGCATCCAAAGAAGGGAGGCCACCGGCAGTGAGGGCCAGTTCAGCTCTGTTCTGAGGACATGGTTCCTTCCCTTGGATTTACAGAGAACCAGCAAGAGAGGAAGCATTTTGTTTCCAGCCAACCATTGGAGAGTCCGCATCCCCCTAGCACTTCTCTACCTCCTTGCAAAGCAGGGGTCCCAGGTTTGACTGCCCTAGGAGCTCAGGGAGCAGCCGTCTCCGGACAGCCCAGAACAGGAGTACCTGTGGGAGAGGATGATCTTCTTCATGTTGTCAGCCATGAGGAAGTTGTAGAAGCGCCGGCACTGGTCCCACTGCATGAAGGTTTCCTGGGCCCTGAAAGAACCATGGTGAGAGTGAGGTGCATGGCTGGGAGATACAAGGAGCTGTCTGGAGGGGGTCTCGGGTGGTCTTGCCACCAAATGCAGAGCTGGAGGCGGGGGCGGGGGGGCTGCTTCCTCTGCCCTGCTATGGCCTTCGGCTGATACTGAGGCTTTTTGTTACAAAAAAAATTTATTTATCCAGGCTGGCATCATGGCTTAACTGGTTAATTCTCTACCTGTAAGCACAGACATCTCAAATGGGTGCCTGTTTGTGTCCTGGTGGCTCCATTTCTGATCCAGCTCCCTGCTTGTGGTGTTGGGAAAGGAATAGCAGATTGCCTAAATTTTTCAGCCCCTGCATCCGTGTGGGACACCCGGAAGAGGTTCCTGGCTTTGGATTGGCTCAGTTCTGGCTGTTGTGGCCATTTGGGGAGTGAATCAGTAGATGGAAGATGGTTCTCTCTGTGAATATGCCTTTCCAAATAATCTTTAAAAATATATTTATTTTATTTTATTAGAAAGCAGAATGACTGAGAGAGAGAGAGAGAGAGAGAGACCTCCGACACTCTGGTTCACTTCCCAAATGCTGGCCACAGCTAGATCCGGGTCAGGCTGACACCAGAAGCTCAGGACTCCATCTGGGTCTCCCACATGGATTGCCAGGGCCAAGCTCCTTGCCAGGGCCAAGATGCCTTGCACGTGCACTAGCAGCAAGCCAGATCAGAAGCAGGGCAGTCCTGATTTGAAGCTGCATTCTGACAAGGGATGGAGGCATCCCAAGCTGCACCTGAACTTGCCATGTCACAACCACAAAGCTCGACCCAGCACCGAGATGGATGTGTGATGTTCACGTATCTGCTGGAAGGAAGGAAGGAAGGAAGAAGGCTGGAAGGAACCACAACAGTGCAGTTGAAGGTGACCTGGCCAGGAACTCCTCTAGGGCCAGGCGGCACTGCTGTTTGCCAATGGCACTGCTGACACCTCCTACTAGCACCCTGGCCTTCCCAGTCACAGAAAGCTGTAGCTATCGTCATGCGGACCTTTTTCTGTTGGGCTTCGTACCTGCAGGTAAGGTTCCCTGGCTAAATGCCGGGCACACATGTAAGAAAGTAGGGGTGTGGGAAGTACCGTGCAGGAAAAACCCACTTAAAAAATGTTTTTTTTTTTCAGAGGCAAAAGAGAACTATAAAATCAGATCCTTCCACGTAAGCCTTTCAATGATCCTTCTACTACTGAAAGGGCAAGGTGAGAGGTCTTCATTGCCTTCTAGGCTCAGTGGGCGGGCCTGTCTGGCAAGACCCTGTCCAGAGCCTGTGAGTGCCCTGCTGCGGGTGGGTGAGGCTCTCCCCACCTGTCAGAGTCCTGGCTGCTGCAAGGAGAAGACAGCACAGCCAGCCTTGCGTTCAGACTGGCTTTGGTGACCAGCCTCTGCGCCCACACTGAGTACAGTGGCAGCTCAGCCCTCCCCACTCAAGGCTTCCTTGTGTTTGAATCCCAACACATGCTGCCGCCAGGTACACACTATGTACAGCAAAACTTCCCTGCTGGGATCTGAACTATACGGGACGCCAGCACTGGGGGAACAGGCTTAACATGCTTCACCACAGCACTGGCTCTGCGTTCACTACTTTTTTTTTTTCTTTCTTTTTGACAATCTTTACATAGTTAATTCGGGCACAAAGGTTCAAGGGCTACAAGAAAGTGGATAAGACTATTATTTCCACAATTTTTTCCTGTATCTGGGGTAAAGGGGGAGATAAAGGGAGAAGCCCCACCCATCCCAGGTCCCCGATGTGGGGCATGCTCCAAGGGTCTTGCTCAAGTAGTTTTGATAGTTCAACAGTTCTGAATTGCTGCCAGTCTCACTACTCCAAGTACAAAGTCACTGCAGAATCCATTGCAGTTCACCTTAGAGTCTGTTTGTGCAGTTTTTGACTACCAACATATGGCTGGGGTAGTTGATTGATTTGTTCTGTCCTCTGTTGTGATGCCAGGTGTCCTCTGCAGGTTCCGATAGACTGCCATATCCTCCATGTGCACCTGGTTATGCTCTCCACTGCTCCGTCTGAGCCTCTGAGGAGGCTGGGCTCTGGCACTTGCACTCCATGGCAGACCATGGAACCTGCACTTCTCTTCATGATTAGGGTTGAGTCCAGCAGTTCGATGGGGGAAGATTCCAAAAGAAACTTTGTCTGAGGTGATCCCAGACCAGATTCCTGTGCACTCACTACTTTTAACATACATATCTTATCATGTTCTACATTTTTCTTGCTGTTTTAAAATAAAAACCTGCTTTAATTCCCAGAGTTGTTATAGTTCACACAGTTAGCCCTTCTGGGCACATGGGTAATTTCTAACATGGCCCAGCTCCCAGGGAGAAAGTGGACCCTCACAAATACACAGGCAATGCTAGACAGACTGGCCAGCTCAAGACAGGGCGCCTGCACTTTGAGGAGGGATGCTGGAGTCTCTGGAACCAGGGGACTCTGAGCAGAAGGCTTTTGGGCTGGCAGCTGGCTGCCCTTCGGGGAGAACCAGCCCAGGGACGGCTCATCACTCCCAGCTAGTTCTGCTTGGCAGTGGGAGATGAAGCAAGCCAGGTGTGTGAGCCAAGGGCCTCTGAGACCAGCCTGGCAGGCATTGTCAATTCTTCTGGAATGGTGGTGCACCCAGAGTGGGTGGCTGCCCTCCAGGTCCATTTTTTCTAAGGAAACAGCTTCCCTAAAGATATAGTCTTACAGAACAAATTCAAGTTCAAGGGTATATACGCAGTCTGTCATTTTTCTGGTTTCAAAAAAATTATTGACAAAAGACAACAATCCCTGTGCACTAAGAGTGCACGTGGCCAGAGAACAAACTCGGGCAGAAAAACTGAGCTGTTTTGCAGCCCAGAGTTTTGACAAAATTCATCAGGGCTTCCTCCCACTGTCCCCCACTGCCCACTCTGCTGCCCCTGTTGGGCTCTGATGCAAAATTACAGATTGTCCAAAGTTACTTTACAGATCTTCGGCCCTACGCTGACATTTCGGGACGGTACAACTCTGCGGAGGGATTTTTATTTATCTTAAAATTTTCCTTTTGTCATAAACTCGTTTACACAGTCTGGAGTTGACTCACTGAAAGCAGACGACAGAAACGCACAGAGCTCTCGGCAGGGAGAGTGACACCTGGTTCTTGCCTGGGGCAGGAAGGCCCCGATTAAGAAACACTGGGAAGGAAGCGCAGGTGGCCATGACTTCCAGACACGAACACTGCCTCTCAGCCAACAGCCCCACTGGCATTAAGGATGGCAGTGAGTCGCTCACTATCCCGGCCATCCTGCAAGGGGCCTTAGGCTGCCACGTGCCCACCCTTCCCTCCATCCCAAATCCCTTCCTGGGGACGTCCTGGGCACCCACATGCCTACTGGGTAGTATATTACTAATATACTTTTGCTGGTTTGCAGTCTTATGATATTCTTATGTCATGAAGTGCTGTGAGTCTCTCCGACACAAACCACCCTTCATGCTCAAATCACAGCAATGCTTGTCTTTCCTTGATTGACCACTTCTGTACTGTGGGAATGTCGAACACTCGCTGAGGAAAGAACTGTTCTTGTCCGTCTCCTTTCCCTGGTCTCCATGCTCCACAAGGGCAGGGAGCTGGGGGAGGGCGCCACCTCATTATGTAGGAGGGGCTCCAGCTGCAGGAATCCATGAGTAATTCATCTATTTCTGCCTCTCGCATTCCTTTCTGGTCATTGCTCACAGCACAAAATTACTTTCCAGTTTTTCATGATCAAGTTTCAGTGGATTAACTAAATCAGAGAGTTGGACGGAATCTGATGGCCTGGACTCTTAAGGGCTAGCTAGCAGCCATCTGCACTGTGGGGGCAGGGGAAGGCCCGACGTGCCATGGGACTCTGGGGCACCTGTGTCCCTCACGGGTGGTACAGCACGTTCTGATGCCTGAGCTAGTTTAGCAGCGGCTATAGTTGGTTAACTATGGCAAGCAGGTGGCTGCTCTCTGGAGGATGTGTGCGGCTCTGGCTGTGGGGGAGGGAGGTCAGCTATCGAAACAAGAAGCCAGAGGGAGGGGAATCGCTGGGCAAGCTGCTCTCCAGACTCAGCTGGGAGGGATTTTCCAGAAGCACGAGTTCCTGAGTGACCTCTGCAGACAAGATCGGCCCTCTTGCTTTGCCGCTTTCCCAATGTTGTGAGGCTCTGCCCTCGAGCCTTGGCAGGGAAAAAGAAAAAGTTATACTGCTGTAAGGTATGGAGCTGTCATTCACTCGGTAGAGCTGGTTCCACTACTAGGACGATCCAAGCACCAGGGAGCCCCAGGCACAACCAGGCTTGTGGTATCCTGACCAGCCATCGACTCCCCTTGTTGGGGAGGGCACCATTTTAGCCCAGACATTAGAGGATCAAGTTGCTTCTTTTTTTTCCATATTGCAGGAGGCTGATGAGACAATAGATAATTATGTATATGAAGCTGTTGGAGTGCTCAAGAAAGGAGCTGTGTAGACTGCAAGATATAGATTCCAGTTCCTAGCTGCCTGACCCTTTGCAACCGTCAAACACGCCTTAATCTGTTGACTGAGCTGAGCACGCGCACTTGCCAACAGCAGATGGCGCTGTTGCAGCAAAATGAAATGAAGTGGCCATCAATTTCAGATTCTGGGCATTATGAAAACAAACTTGCCCTCTGTTCTCCTGTTTATCGTGTAGACGTTACTGAATACGAGGTCAGCGCTTACAGCAAATCCACAGCCACTGCTTCAGGAAGGAAATCGGGTTATTCCAATCCTGGAGAAGACAAAAGCTTGGCTGAAAATAGGACCAGCTGTGAGGCGAGTGCAGGTGAGGGCTCCGGCTCCCAAGGTCTGACTGGGCTGGCTCCTGGCTCACCTTCTTCTCAGTTCAGTTCTTAGGATGGGTCTTGGTTAATTTGCACATCTGGCCGTGAGTTGGGAGTTGAATATTTCTAATCAAGTGGAGACAAAGAAACCTGTGTGTTCCATCAGTTCCCTGGTGTGTGATGAGCAAGTTTCCTAACAGGAAGATGAGAGGCTAGCCTAGTTCTGCGGGGCCAGACCTGGAGAGATGTGAACAGTTCAACGCCAGCAGTCATCAGATGCAGATTCCTGAGGTCCCATGCCACAGCACCCGTGAATCACAGCCTGCAGCGATGGGCCTCAGAGGCCGACTTTGTAATCTGACACTCAGCTGTTCCTCGGCGAAGTGAAGACGGTCAGGCGTTCACCAGCCCATCCGCTGGGGTCCAGTGTCCACACCATGGAGGGTGACGACGACGAACAGCTAGTGACTGACATTCTGTGGCCCAGGCACTACTCCAAGCACATCAGTGTGACCCTCAGGATGGAGCCATGAGGTCTTCCTTTTCGTTTTTATAACACCTGCGTATCCCAGATGAGGAAATGGGAGCTCTTAGGCCTCGGCCCTGGAACCCAGGAGAGGTCTCTCCAGGGATGCTCTCATTGTCGCGTGGCACATTTAGATGTCCCCTTCTGGCCGGATCTGAGCCTCACAGAATGAGGATGAATTCTGGGCCCATGGTTAACTGTGGCATTTAGATAACGAGTTTCTACCAGAAACTTAACAAAACCAGATTAAAGTGAAGTGTGAGTAACGCAGGTGAGGTAAAAAAGGATTCCTTGATTAACTGTAAGGACCCTTCAGCCTTACACTGGGTCAACAAAGGAGTGTTTCTTTAAACTTTTCTGTGTGACTTGGATTTCCTTAAGAGTGCCCTAGTGGCGAGTCACACCTGTTTGCAATACAAATGATATCATGAAGAGTGTGGGTGCAGGAGAAATGAATGCCTTTTAAGACCCGAGCAGATGTCTGTGAATGTGAGCATATGCGGATCTGGTGTGTGCACGTGTAAGAGTGTGTCAGGGTGCGTGTGAGACTGAACATGTGAGTGTACATGTGTGAGAATGAGAAGTGAGTCAGTGGAGTGTGAGAATACAGAAACGGAAGTGTGAGCAAGAGCAAGTGTGCATGTGAGCGTGAAGCCATGTGTTAGCACGAGTGTGGCGACTCGTGAGAGCTCGGGGACAGATCTTGAGGGGAAGCCAGAGCAGATGGCCCCGGGGGCAGGGCCTGGAGCAGCTAGGACCCGTCCTGCAGGGTGTCTGTGGGCAGGAGACCCACGGGCAAGAGCCAGGGTCTTCTGTGATAAATGGGCATAATGATAAGAGGAACGGGCAGTGGAAGGTGAGGACGCCGTTGGAGGGATTCCCGCAGACCCCGCTGGCTCTCCTCCGAGACTCAGCCCCTCTGCGGGGAGAAGCGGTGTGGGCTCCCACAGCCCAGCTCTCGGATCCTGGCTTGCCAGTCTTTTCTGTTCTCTCATTAGTCTGTGGTTGTGCCAAACCCCTGAAGCATGAACAGACTGAGTGACCTTCCAGAACCTTCAGGGAAACAGCAGCCGGGAAGAGGAGCTTTGCTTACTCAGACACAGATCTGAGCCCACAGTGCGGCGAGCCAGCTGAGGAGCCTGTTGGCGGGAGGGGAGGACTCACCTCAGTGCGCTGTACCCCTGGCACACGCTCACGCAGCACAGCACCTTTTCCTGGTTTGCCTGAGTTTCTCCCAGGTATTTGCACACGATGTTACCACCCAGGCTGAAGCCCACCACCACCAGCTGGGTCAGGGGATACATCCTCTTGATATAGTTCACCATGGCTCCAAACTCCCACGTGCAGCCTGTGGGCGAGAAGAGTATGACACTCAGTCATTGCAACAAATACTGGACACAGTGCAAGCGGGAGGATTAGTAAATAGGGATCCACGCAGATGGGGACTTTAGAAACGTCACGGAAAATGTCTATTATGAAAAATAAGTTTTACCCTTTAATTCCATTTTCCATAAAGCTTTTGGAGTATATATCCAAAGAGAGACAGACTGCTTTTTGGCTAGCCAGAGACATGCATGTAGGAATTAGAGAGAGGGCGCCTCTAGTGTCCATGCGCCAAGTATCACGTGTCTAGTTGATGTGCAATGTTCCTTTAACGGAGGGTCACAGGAAACCTCACAGAGACCAACAGACAGGGCTTGCCTAAGTACTCATGTTGACATGCGCATGTAGCAAAAGCAACAGCAAAACCTTTTGGGAGCAGCTTCTTAGGCTGTTAATTAGGACACTATGCCCAAGTGTAAGGTGACTCATGAGGGTCAGGAAAGCACCCAGCGGATGTGATTCATAGGATCTTTTTGTTAGCGTTGTGGAGGGATGGAGAGACCAAGTTGAGTCCAGAGGGACAGCCAGAATGCTCTGAGGGTGAGAGCGAAAGAGCCTTGGTGATGCAGGCACAGGGTGCCAGGGGAAGCAGGCCATTCACAAACACACACAGGAGGCCTCTGAGCAGCACGGTGTTTGGGCTGCTTTTCCCAGGCGGGGAATGATCTCAGCTGGGGTCCCCAGGGAAGGCAAGCCTTGGTACAAGTGGCAGCTCGTGAATGGCCTGGCACCAGACAGGCACGAGAGCAGCAGTGCAGTGGAGACGCGAGCTGCTGACCGCGGCGCCAGTTCCGACATTCCTCATACGGTCGGCAAACCACGACGCCATGACCTTTCCAGGCTGTGCATGTTTGTCTTCCTTTTTGAGTGGGATGCAGCTTAAGGCAGGCCAGCACAACTGCTTGCAGTGTGCAGAGTGCCCTGCAGGTGATGTTAGAGGCAGCCATTTGCGGGAGAATCACTGTCAGAGAAGTTGATTCCATAGGACACGGGTCAGGCCCAGGAATGGGCAGAAACGGTGTTTCTCTGAGTGGATAGATAATATGTATGGCAGTAAATTCAAATGCTGTAAAAGATGCAGTGAAGGGGCCACCACAGCTGGTAAGGCTACCACTTTGTGTTGCGTTGGCATCCCATACATGCTCGAGTCCTGGCTGCTCCACTTCTGATCCAGTTTCCCGCTAATGTACCTGGGAAAGCAGCAGAGGATGGTCCAAGTGCTTGGGCCCCTGCATCCAATGTGAGAGACCGAGAATGTTCCAGGCTGTGGACAGGCCCAGTTCTGGTTTTTGTGCTCATTTAGGGGATGAATCAGAGGATGGAAGATCCCTCTGTCTCCCCTCCACCTGTAACTCTTTCAAATAAATGTCTTTTTTTTTTTTTAATGCAATGAAGAGTTCATTTCCTACATTACTTTTAAACTAGCAGTGGTAGTATACACATTGTTTGGTGCCCTGCTTTATCCCTTTACAATATGTCTCACAAGCCTTTATGTATCAGTACACAGAAAGAATCTTGTTCTATTTTATTTCTATGAAGGTACAACTTATACACAGCAAAATACACAGTGTTCTGCATTTCCATCCAGGTAACCATTACTCATACCAAGATACAATCCCTTCCTGGTCCCTTGGAAGCCATCTCATTCCAGACAAAATGCCCTAGACTTGGATGAATGATTATAATACAATGGTGCTGGGAGCATGGGGTCTTGGAAAATGGCAAAAAGTGCTTGAAACTAATAGGGAGGGCCCGGTGTGACAGCCTAGCAGCTAAAATCCCTCACCTTGAACGTGCCAGGATCCCATATGAGTGCCAGTTTGTATCCTGGCAGCCCTGCTTCCCATCCAGCTCATTGCTTGTGGCCTGGGAAAGCAGTAGCGGACAGCCCAAAGCCTTGGGACCCTGCATCTGCGCAGGAATCCTGGCTTTGGATTGGCTCAGCTCCGGCCGTTGTGGTCGCTTGGGGAGTGAATCATTGGACGGAAGATCTTCCTCTTTGTCTCTCCTCCTGTGTATCTGACTTCCTAACAGGGAAACCAGGAGCCAAGAGCAACACCTTCTCAACACGGTCAGACTGGGCTCTGCGCTGGAACGAGGCACATTTCTCTCCAGTGAGCTAGCAGATGGTACAGTCTCCTAGTTTTTTCCCTGCAGCACCCAGCTGAGACTGGGAGGGTCTGCAGGCCTTTAACGAAGAGCTGATTGGCTGAGTGCAGTCTCATGGCTCCTAGACACTCTCCAGGAGGATCAAAAAGCCAGGATGGAGGGAACTTTGGACCTTTGACCTTGGAATTTGAACTGCCAGACTTCTAGCCCAGGTTTGGCCAGACTCATCTAAGGAATAGCGTATCTCTAAACACTGGAATTAAAAGGGGGAGTTGAGATGTCAGAGGGAGGTAGTGGAGGTCCTGAAACACGTGTAGCTGATGCTACAGATGCTCTTTCGCACAGCAAGTGAACACGTAAAAATTCCATCAGGGACACTGACTCACCTGCTCAGGTCATGAGCGACCCTAAAACCAGGGTCTTACAGGAGCAGCTGGGCTTCAAGGCTGAGGGAGGGCCCTTGTGGCCAGGCTGCACCTGCTCTCAAATCATCTCTGACGACAGGCAAGTCTTGAGGCATGAGAGAAACCCAGTTTTCCAGATCCCTGCTGGAGGGTTAGAGCTCCAGGAGTAGGATGGGGCCTGGGAGTGTGTACTTTTAACAAACTCCCAGGATGAAATTTTATCATGAGGGAACTTGGGAACATTACCAAACCGTACTGAATCTGTGGCCTCGGAAAGCAGTGTGATAACACCTATTTATTCATGCTTTTTAAAAAGCACAGCCCTGGGCCTGGCGGAGTGGCTTAGCGGCTAAAGTCCTCGCCCTGAACGTGCCGGGATCCCATTTGGGCGCCAGTTCTAATCCCAGCAGCTCCACTTCCCATCCAGCTCCCTGCTTGTGGCCTGGGAAAGCAGTCTAGCATGGCCCAAAGCCTTGGGTTCCTGCACCTGCTTGGGAGATCTAGAGGAAATTCCTGGCTCCTGGCTTCGGATAGGCGCAGTATCGGCTGTTGCGCTCACTTGGGGAATGACCCATCGGACAGAAAATCTTCCTCTCTGTCTCTCCTCCTCTATGTTTACTATGTTTATCTGACTTTCCAATAAAAAATAAACAAATCTTAAAAAAGAAAGCACAGTCCTGTGCTCACTTTGGCAGCATATGAACTAAAAAAACAAACAAACAAAAAAACAAACCACAGTCCTGGGCCCAGTGCGGAGGCCTAGTGGCTAAATCCTGGCCTTGCAACTGCTGGGATCCTATGTAAGCACCGGTTCGTGTCTTGGCTGTTCCACATCCCATGCAGCTCCCAGCTTGTGGCCTGGGAAGGCAGTAGAGGACAGCCCAAAGCCTTGGGACCCTGCATCCACATGGGAGCCCCAAAAGAAGCTCCTGGGTTCAGACCAGCCCAGCTCTGGCCATTGAGGTCATCTGGGGAGTGATCCAGTGGATGGAAGATCTTTGTCTCTCCTTCTCTGTGAATCTGCCTTTCCAAGAAAAACAAATCTTAAAAAAAGAAGAAGAAGAAGAAAAAGCGCAGTCTTTTTGTCTAGCAATTCCACTTTAGGGGACCTCCTGCTGCAGGTGTACTTGTACATGTGTGCACAGATATATGTGCAAGAGCGTTCCCTGCAGCGCTGTTGGCAGCAGCACAGGATTGGAAGCTACCTAAATTTCCATCTGAGTGAAGCGACTCATCACTGCTGTGGATAGGGAGGACACAGAGTCCCGTGCGGAGGTGTGCTGTGGCGCCAGTTCCCTGAGGGACAAGAACAGGAGGCAGACAGTGGGGATGGTACCATCTCCTGAGTGGGCTCGGGTGCTAGAGCGATGAGACATGCCTACACATCTGATAGAATACTTGCTGGGGAGAGAGATGGGCTTAGCATGGGACAGAGAATTTGGTACTGTTTAAATTATCATTATTATTATTTTTACTATGTTGTCTACATGACTTTTTTTTTTTTTTTTTTGGAAAGGAGAGACAGAGAGGAAGATCTTCCATCCGATGGTTCACTCCCCAAGCAGCTGCAATGGCTGGAGTTGAGCCAATCTGAAGCCAGGAGCCAGGAGCTCTTCTGGGTCTCCCACACGGGTGCAGGGTCCCAAGGCTTTGGGCTGTCCTCTACTGCTTTCCCAGGCCACAAGCAATGAGCTGGGTGGGAAGTGGGGCCACCAGGATTAGGACTGGCACCCATATGGGATCCCGGCGTGTGCAAGGCAAGGACTTTAACCACTACACTATTGTGTCAGGCCCACCTACATTACTTTTCAAAATTTTTATTTATTTATTTATTTTTTATGATACAGTTCCATAGGCTAAGGGATTTCCCTTTCCCCCCTTTAGATTCCCCTCTTTTCAACTGTTTCCCCTATATTATTATATATTTTTTTAAGTTTTATTTATTTGTTTTAATTGTTATTAACATTGTATTATGTGATACAGTTTTATAGGCACTGGGACTCCCCCCACCCCTCCCACAACCCTCCCCCCAATCCCCTATATTATTATAATAGCACTGTTTTTCAGCAACAGTCACAAGTCCATCATTCTGATATTTAGGTGTATCCTGACATTGTAAATATAGACAACGGTAGAAAGTACTTTTCCAATCAAAATCTAGATAGAAAACTTTAGCAAAAACAAAAAATACATATATTTATATTTCCTTAAGCCAGTTTTGACTAGCCTAAAGATGTCCAACATACCATTTGTGCTGGAGCAGTGGTTTGTGCTGGGGACATTGTTCCTTGCATAACAAATGACAGGGGCTGCTGCGATGCCTCAATGGCTAATCCCTCTGCCTGCAAGTGAAGGCATCCCATATGGGTGTCTGAGCTGCTCCACTTTCAATCCAGTTCCCTGCCTATAGTCTGGGAAATCAGCAGAGGATGGCCCAAAGCCTCAGATTCCT